TCCTCCTCTGTTTCCCATTGCTGCAGCTGCCGCTGAGGGGGGTGGGTGTGTGGGAGTCGACGGAGTGGTGCTAGGGGGTGGGGTGTGAGTGAACCTAAGGGTGCAGTAGGGGGTGTGTGAAATGGGGGTGGGATAGTTTGGGGAGTTTGAAGCGGGTGGCCGCCGTGAAGCCCGCAGCTCCAGTCGCCCGTGAGACCGTTGCGCCAGTCGCCCGTGAGCCCGTTGCTCCAGTCGCCTGTGAGTCCGTTGCTCCTACCGCTTAGAGTTAGCCGCGGAGCCAGTTACTCCAGTAGCCCGTGTGCCAGTTGCTCTAGTTGCCAGTGTGCCAGTTGCTCCAGTTGCCCGTGTGCCAGTTGCTCCAGTTGCGCCGTGTGCCAGCAGCTTCAGCTGCCGCCCACTACCTCCTCTCCTCCCATAGTCCCTCCTCCACACTTGCTCTCTGCGATAGCCTCTAGCTTTGCTTACATTTGTGAACTTTAAACTGTTGCTTCTTGTACTTGTGCTCAGAATGTGTGGTGACATTGTGATCCACCCTGAGCTTGTTCTGCTTTGCTTGTTGTGCTGATTACACCCCACTTTGGTTATGGGGGTGTGTTAGAATATTATGTTTCTCTAGTCTGCAATGGGGTACTCTATAGTGAGTACAACCCTTTTAGGGTTTGCTATATGTATCCCAATGTTTGCTAGTGAACTCCTCCTCTCTTCTTCATTCCTCTTTCTTCACACACTTGTTCTCCCCCACTTTGCCTATGGGGGTGCTAGTTGTGTGTAAGCTATAGTGGGGTAGCCCAAGTTGGGTACAACCCAATATTATGGTTAGTACTTGTACCCACAATCAATTCAATGCAACCATTCCTGCTTGCTATTCTGACAAAAAGCACCCCCCCCAAAAAAAACTGATTTTATTACAAGCGCATATGCGCTACCGTACTATCCGGGGTAATACGGTATCAGAAATGTGTTTTGCAATTGACCCAGGGGCAAAAACGCGGGTGTGTCGCACACTCAACCTCCTAACCAGCCAGTCACTTCGCCTACACAGATAGGGTAACGAGAGCTGCAACTGTTTTGCAATTGACATCAATTTTTCGTACTTGAGATCGTGGCTTTAAAAATCAGATGAAAGCAAAAATCAAGGTCTGAAAATCAGACCATCAGACCAATTTGGTCTGATAACAAGAGCCCCAGTAGTGCTTGTCTGATTAGATGTCACACGTCACATATGAGCCGTGGCAAAGAAGTTTTCGAAGAAGCGGAGGCCATCGGCTGCATCGTCTCGGCACAGAAGAGCTGATTGGGGGGGTGGGTGGGGTAGAGGAAAAGGACAAAATGGCATGAGGAAACACGGATAACAGTGAGGTTAGGAAACAGAGAGGCCATCGGCTGGATCGTCTCGACACTGAAGAGCACTTAGCAAAGCAGCATTACGCACACTCAGAAAAAAACTGCACTTAGCAAAGCAGCACTACTCTTCTCACCCTTGGCCTCGGCTGCTAACAATTCCTCCTTGGCGACAGCTGGCGAGACGCCGAGCGCCTGCGCCACATCAGCAATGGACACCCCGACTCGCTGCGCCTCATTGGTCGAGACCAACTCCTGGATCCTGCGCGTGACCTGGCATGCAGGGGGATAATGGAAGAAGGAATGGGTCTTGCATGTAAGCTGGCATGCCGAGAATGTGGGAGGTGGCATGTTGAAGGGAATTTGATGGGAGGGGAAGTCGTTGGGCTGGGGTAGAGAATGGGGAGGGGATCAGAAGACTGCATGCACGGGGGCAAAGATGAGAGCCATGCGTGCTATTGCATGTACGGCGCGGGATTCACTGAAGTACCGTACATCTAATTCACGGAAAGCACCGCACTGCACTGCACTGCACCTACATGCTCGTCGCTGTGAGTCTTGAGCTGCACCACAAGAATGCCGCTGTCAAAGCGCCTTAGCACTGCAGGACTGGGGATGGGAGAGAGCGAGAGAGACAGAGGGGAAGGCAGGAGGGAGGAAGGAGATGAGAGAAAGTAGTAGTGAAAAACTGATGTGCGTATTCAGCTGCATCACAAGGATACTACAGTCACAGGGCTGGGGATTGGAGAGAGGACAGAATGAAAGAGAACAAGAAGGACAGCCAGAGAGAGGAGAGAAAAGACAGAATGGAAGATAGCCAGAGAGATAAGGGAATGGAGTGACAAATAACACAAATTGTCAGAGGTCTACTGGTGATCCCCGGTTGATCCTAGGGAAGGGTTACAGGCTCGTTGTCATAGAGGGTTATGGGCGCACTGACCCGCTACACAAACAAGCCATTTTATCCAAGTGGTTAATGGCTGGAATTCTGACATGGTATCAGAGCGAAGGTCACGGGTTCGAATTCCAGTGTGTGCATTTCGGGCATCCCAGTGCGGGGGGGTGTCAGAGGTCCACTGGTGATCCCCGATTGATCCTAGGGAAGGGTTACAGGTTCGTTGTCCTGGGGGGTTATGGGCGCACTGACCCGCTACGTAACAAGCCTTTTTATCCCAATGGTTTAGTGATTGGGATTCTGACACAAATAACAACAACGCAACAACGCGCAGGCACGACAACAAGCGACACAACATGCGGATGGGGGTGCCTACAACTTTTGTTCCTCCGCCCCCAACTTTTGTCCGAGCCCTGCCACAAGCGGTTGAAGGCAGCAGCAACACCGTTCACTAAGTCACGCCCAAAACTGTTTCGCTTTTTCCTCCCCCCTCCCCCCTTCCCCCCCCCACAAGCCGTTTCGCCACCCGCACCGGCCGACTAAAGACACGGCTGCCCCGCTCTCCACAGCGGTCGCTAAGTCACGCCTAAAACTGTTTCGCTTTTTCCTCCCCCCTCCCCCCTTCCCCCCCCACAAGCCGTTTCGCCACCCGCACTGGCCGACTAAAGACACGCCCGCCCCGCTCACCACATCGGTCGCTAAGTCACGCCCAAAACTGTTTCGCTTTTTCCTCCCCCCTCCCCCCTTCCCCCCCCCTCCACCCTTCCCCCCCCACAAGCCGTTTCGCCACCCACATTGGCCGCTCGAGCGGAGGAGACCACCAATGCGATGGGCTTTGCGCATTGCCACTGGCACACGCACATTGCCACTGGCACACGCGCATTGCCACCGGCACACGCGCATTGCCACCGGCACACGCGCATTGCCACCGGCACACGCACATTGCCACCGGCACACGCACATTGCCACTGGCACACGCACATTGCCACTGGCAGGGAGGAGAAGGGTGCTTGTTATATTCCCCCCAGCTTGGAAGAAGACTCTTTCAAGGAGACTTAGCTTCGGGGGAGAGGAGAGGGAGGGAGCCGACACTAGACTCAACTCATCTTCCACCACTAGACTTCGGGTTGGTGGCCTCAACTCAACTCATCTTCCACTCAAGGCCACCAACCCGAGCCGCACCTGGAACCCGTGGCAACAGGAGGGAAACCAAAATCAATACCAACCCACGTCTGAGGCACCCAACCTGACCAACCAACCCCGTCGCCAAATCTCGCCTGACGAGAGCCGTTTCGCGACAATCACCTGCGCAATGCACTGCCAAGCACTGCCAAGACGACACCATTTGGATCTGTGATGTGACCATCACATCACGGGCCCCGTCAGCATACGTGACGGCCATGCTGTCAACGGACAGGGCTGGGCAGCAAGGGAAGCGGCGCCGGAAGATAAGACGATATATCATCACCAATCAGGCCGAGCACGTGAACAGTGAACTTCTTCCAGCGGGCCGTGGAGACCTACAGCTGTCCCTGCGGGGAGGTGCCTCAATTGCTCAAGCTGTTGGCCGAAACAGCAGCGAGGAGGCTGGTGAACGCACATCTGTCCACTGTCCACATACCAAGCCAGGATGCTTCTCCAACAGTTCCACCAGCGCTGCTGGTAAATGCAGAGCTGCCAACAAACCAGGCAGCGCATACCAGCCCTGCAGGGACGACAAGCCCTCAGCTGCAGGGACGACTGGTCAATGCAGACCCCTCTGCCAACTGTCCACAGACCAGGCTGCAAATCCCCCTCAACAGTTCCGCCAGCGCTTGTCAATGCAGACCCAGAAAATAGCATTGCAGCAAGCACAAGCCCTCAGCTACTCAATCAAGTTGGACGAGGCGACCCAGGCTGAGAACCCGAGTATAAGTATCACGGGTGACAATATTCCATCTGGAGATTGATTTATAGTGTTGGAGCCGCAGATAGAGCTGCTGTAGTGTATAAGGCTGTTCCTCCATTTATACCTCTCTGGACCCAGGCTGTCTAATACTACAAACAAGGGCCGTTTGCGAGAGACATTTTTGGAAGCTTGCGAACTGGTTGTACCCTACACATTTATCCACCGACTCGACTATGACTTGCAAGTTCTAAGTTGTAAGTTTGTTTGACTCACGAGGTGAAAGAGGACCAGAGCGAACACGCCTTGAGTAGATCGTCTGGTGATATGAGCTCTGAGAGGAACGGGCGAGCACAGATACACACATACATGCGCACATGCATGCGCACATGCATGCGCACATGCATGCGCATATGCATGCGCACATGCATGCGCGCCCACACACACACACACACAGATTCACATAAACACATAACCGCAACCACATAGCCGCACAGTCACACAGTCATACAGCCCACACAGAAGCAGAAATGCACGACATTCGCCTTACACGCTTGCATGCTGACAGTTTCTCATCACCAAAACCGTCGCTCTGCAAACTCTTCACCGCAACAGATGGGTAGTTTTCATCTCACCAACTGGCAAACTGGCCTGCTGAGCTCAGCACTGCCAGCACAGCACTTTAAGCACAGCACTACCAGCACGACACTTTCGATTCGCCTCAGCGAAGAGAGTTGGGTTGAGAGCGGTTCATTACGCACCTGTGCCTCTGGCGCGGTTGAATATGCAGTACACGTCGACCAATAGCATCGTGCCACCTGTCTTCTCCAGCACTGGGCCTATGAAATCTGCAAGCTGCGAGAAGAGCAGGGGATAGGAATGGGGGCAGGGGAGAGGAATGGGGGCAGGGGAGAGGAATGGGGGCAGGGGAGAGGAATGGGGGCAGGGGAGAGGAATGGGGCAGGGGAGAGGAATGAGGTGAGGAGGTGAGCAGGTGAGCAGGTGAGCCAGCAGACAATACCAGCAACGGTCTCAAGAGAGGAAACGATTCATCAAAGAGCTGAGAACTTGTAAGTATTTTAGGCGAGACAGTCGAGTGAGAAGGATGCTTCAGCTTAGCGACATGAAGAGTGCATGAGATGAGAGGGATGAGCACTTGTGGTACTTTGTTCAACTCTGAGCGCCGTGCGTGCGTGAGAGAGAGAGCAGCACGCTTCCATTGTGATTCACTGCAAGTGGCAAAAGCAAAGAATGATGAAGCGCCAGCTTGCTTGTGGCCGAGCAGATCAGACCACCCACCCCACCCCACTGACAGCTGCCTGTGTCACAGCCCTCTTCACCCCACCCCACTGACAGCTGCCTGTGTCACAGCCCTCTTCACCCCACCCCACTGACAGCTGCCTGTGTCACAGCCCTCTTCACCCCACCCCACTGACAACTGCCTGTGTCACAGCCCTCTTCACCCCACCCCACTGACAGCTGCCTGTGTCACAGCCCTCTTCACCCCACCCCACTGACAGCTGCCTGTGTCACAGCCCTCTTCACCCCACCCCACTGACAGCTGCCTGTGTCACAGCCCTCTTCACCCCAACCCACTGACAGCTGCCTGTGTCACAGCCCTCTTCACCCCACCCCACTGACAACTGCCTGTGTCACAGCCCTCTTCACCCCACCCCACTGACAGCTGCCTGTGTCACAGCCCTCTTCACCCCACCCCACTGACAGCTGCCTGTGTCACAGCCCTCTTCACCCCACCCCACTGACAGCTGCCTGTGTCACAGCCCCCTTCACCCCCTCCTCAATGGACAATTGCCTGTGATACAGCCCCCCCCACCCCCTTCTGCAAAGGAAGAGGGGAGGAGGAGGAGGGGGAGGAGGAGGAAGAAGAGGAGGAGGAGGAGGAGGAGGAGGAGGAGGAGGAGGAGGAGGAGGAGGAGGAGGAGGAGGAGGAGGAGGAGGAGGAGGAGGAGGAGGAGGAGGACGAGGAGGAGGAGGAGGAGGAGGAGGAGGAGGAGGAGGAGGAGGAGGAGGAGGAGGAGGAGGAGGAGGAGGAGGAGGAGGAGGAGGAGGAGGAGGAGGAGGAGGAAGTGGAGGAGGAGGAGGAGGAGGAGGAGGAGGAGGAGGAGGAGGAGGAGGAGGAGGAGGAGGAGGAGGAGGAGGAGGAGGAGAAGAAGAAGAGAGAAGGGATAGAGCGCTCACCTCTCTGGACAGCTGTCTGTGATACAATGCGCCTGCTGTCTCTCGTGTGACAGGAGACTCAATGCCCATCTTCAGCAGCAGGTCCTGCAGCTCCTCCGATGCTGCTGCTGCTGAGGAAGAGGAGGAGGAGGAAGAGAGGGAAGGGGCGATTTCCCCACTCGCCGCCCCCTGCTGCTGCTGCAGCTTCTGTCGCATTCTCTCTGCCAGTTTCACCATCTCGCTCGCCTTGGCCTGCAAAAAGGAAAGGGAGTGACAGTTGGAAAACGCGTAAAACAGCAGATTTTGTGAAACGCCTCAAACCCTCCCACCCTCCTCCCTTCCATGCTGATGCTGCAATTTCTGTCGCATTCTCTCGGCCAGTTTCACCATCTCACTCGCCTTGGCCTGCAAGGAAGAAAGCGAGGAAAAGCAGGATACACACATGTAAGGATGGGCTATCCGCTGCTGCAGCTTGTGTCGCATTCTCTCTGCCAGTTTCACCATCTCGCTCGCCTTGGCCTGCATAGAGGAAAGGGAGGGAAGGCAGGATACACGCATGAAAATGGAAGGATATCTGCTGCTGCTCCCCATGATGCTGCAGCAGCAACAGCTTCTGTCACATTCTCTCGGCCAATAGCACCGTCTCACTAACCTTGGCCTGCACGGATGGAGTGGGTGCGGGAAAGCAGGAAGACACGAAAGGTGTCAGTCAGGTCATAAGCTGCTGCCATTTAAGGACTTCCCAAAAGCGACTCAATCCCACCACGAGCGCAGTCAGGTCGGACGGAGAATGCCACCTGCAGGATTCGATCCGGAGACCACTGGAGCGATAGGCTCAACACTGTAGGTAGGTGGTTGGCTCATACCCTCTACTCCACTCACCATGAGCGCATTCAGGTCGGAGAACGCTTCTGCTTGTAGGTGTATGTGTATCCGAAGGAATGCTTGCTTTCAGTGGGCCCCTGCACTCACCATGAGTGCATTCAGGTCCGAGAACGCTTCTTGCAGGCTGCGATCCGTGGCCTGCTTCTGCTCCGCCTCGCGCCTCAGAATCCCCCCCACCCCCGCCATTGCTGTGCTGAACTGCACCGGGGGAGGTCCCCCTGCTCCCCCCGCTCCCCCTGCTGTCCCCACTTCCCCGCTTCCATACCCCGCACTGCCCCAATACAGGGGGTTCGCTCCGCCAGTTGCTGATCCCCCCATTCCGCTCCCCCCATACGCGCCGACCGCTGCTGCTGCTGCTGCTGCTGCTGCTGCGCCGATCGGCAGGGCAGGGAGAGATGCGGAGGCAGCAGTAGGGGGGGTTACTAGCCCCGGAAAAGGTGAATCTTGCCATTTTCTAGCCGCTAGAGCTTCGTTGAGTTTTTTTAAGAACACATCAGCAGGGGCCTGGCCTCTTAGAACGGCTACTAATGACGCGGTCCGTCCTAAATTCGACCCTAAGTTGCTGCTCTGCGTGCTGTGGCTGCTGCTGCCAATGGCAGAAGACGACAAAACCGCCCGCCCTTGCGGGTCTAATAAGACGTACATGCGAACACGAGGGGAGGCGAAAACTGAGGTGAGTCGCCACCCCGCAGCGGAAGCATTCGCGATGGCGACGAGTGGCACGGCGAAAGCTCGCTTCTGGTTACCACCTGTCGCCGGCCGTTCGTCGATCCAAATCAGCCGGTGCGTGGTGAGCGACGCGACGCCATCACGAAGCGACTCCGCTTCAAGAACCGAGCCGGAATTTGCTACCTCTTCAAATTCTATCCCCGCGTCGTCGATTAAAAGGCTCTCCACCTCGCCAGGGAACAGCACGGGCCGGCCGGAGGGAGTTAACTCTACCGGATGCAGCATGCGCTCGGCCAAGGGTGTGGAGGCGGCGCGCTGGTGAGCCATCACCGCGAGTTGAGAGGATTTCTATGGGAGATTGGGGGCAGTTCCGAGGCAGTTCTGAGAGCTAATATCGAGGATATTCTCGAGGCGATTACTCAGGTGTCTCAAGAAGGAACTCCGATCACAAGTAGAGAGTGGTGGTGATACGTCATGCCGCCTCACGGCGCGTTACCTAGTAACGTTTCCTGACGAAGCGCTTCACTTACTTGGAAACGTTACTTGACGACGCGCGGAAACGTTTCCACGACATTTTGGTGGAATAAGTGCTAACACTTCACTTAAACCGTGGCGAGAGCGGTGGGACGTGGCTTATTATTCGAGATGCTAGTACGTGCCGCATAGTTTATCTACGTACCCCTTGTTTCTGCTCTGACTGACTAGACACGACTCGAGAGCTGTTTATGCGCAACGTTCCACACTGACAGTGTTGACCGCCATAGTGTAAAATAGATGCCCAACCCAAACTTCGCGCTACAAGTCGAAGGGCCAATTCGCTTCATTATTAACGCTGTAACATTCACACTATCGAGTGTTATGCTCTGAGACAATTTTGCACAAGCCTGCATGATGCATCAAATGTACCTACTGATGCCATGCCATATGATTATCCATGGACACAGCTCCATTGATCCAGAGACAAGGGCCTTTCTTTTATATAGTCGACTTCTCTTTCACCTCGAAGTCAATAAGGGTACAATATTTAAAAATATATATAGATGTCGTAGTCGTAGTTTTTAGGCTACGGTGAGTTGCTCTTTGGAGAGTACAAACGAATTTGGGTTGATGCGGCTGGCGGAGCTCTTCAGTGATGATGACTGGTTTGCTCGCAAGTCTACGTAGGTCAACGAGGAGTTGTTCTCGCACAGTACAGTACGACCATATTCTTGCGACGAGTCACGACGAAACGGAATCTGGGCCACCCAGGCCCCTCCTGAACCATCGCTGCGAGTGACCAACGACACCAGCAGCATCGCTGCCAGGCCCTGCGAGAGAAGTCACGAGGAGGAATCTGAGTTGAGGCTTGTTCCACGGCAAGCAAGCCGATAACCTCACAAGAAGCTCCGCACAAACACATCAGCTGGCTAACCCTAAATGGCGCCAAGTTTTCAGACCCGTCTATAGAACCTGTGCCCACGCCGTTTTTCGTGATGCTGTGGATTGTTGAGCCGAAAATAGTCTTCATCGCCCCTAGTGATGGACGTACCCGTTCGTTATACCCACTGGGTGTCGTCGCTATGGCTCGTCGCGAGAAGGGCGTTCGTGGTGACTTTTCTGGCGACCATGTCGTTCGCGATGCTGCTAGTGTGGGTGTACAATTTCTCGTCCGGCGCGAGTCCTGGTGTCACAGCCTTCCGAGATTCCTTAGATTCGTGCGTGGGAGTCGGCCTTGCGTATAACGGAATGCACAGCATGTCGTTCTTCCGCGGTATTGCGTGTTCCGATTTGGTAAACGCAGCCGCCATACGCGGTAAAGCAGGCTTCGATAAAGGAAGCGAGATTCATTACCGTCACATCTTGGCGACTGGAGGTGACAGCAGCAACACCAGCGGCAACAGCATCGAAGTGGGTACTAGCTCTGGAACAAGAAACCTTAGTTCCACTATAGGATATTCAGAAACGGAGAATCCGGAGAGAGACGGTTGTCAAGTCCTATATAACTCCAGCGTTGACCCTCGTGATATAAAGCCCACTTCGTCCTTCAACCACTCCGGCTGCCAGATCGAATGGATCACTTTCTCCACCAGGTGTGGAAAAGGCGTTCAACGCTTAGCTAAGTTCTGCGACTTGGTGGGAGTTCCGTTTGCAATACTCGGTCTGAACGAAACTTGGAAGGGACTCGGCGGCCGTGTGAGGTACTATAGGGAGTACTTAAGGACTCTCCCGCGTGACCGGATTGTGATTGTAACAGATGCTGACGACGTCTTGTTCCTGCCGAATCGCGAGCTGTGCGGACCAGATCAACTCGTTAAAGCGTTCCTCTCAGTCAACGCTCCTGTTGTTTTCGGAGCCGAAATTTTCGCGTATCCGACAGTCGATGTCATCCCGTTTTACGGGCAAAAGCTGAAGTACCCATTTCCGAATCGGCACCTTAACGCAGGGTCTTGTATCGGGTATGCTTGGGCTTTATCAGAGATGATAGACGTGACGTACACGAGTGACTGTATGGAGGATCAGCGACAATTCGTTACTGGTTACTTGGCCCAACCGTACCTCTTCAACTCCCTCCCACGGACGCCTTACCCTGAAACAAATTTCACTTCGATGCAGTCATATTTTTCGCAACAGACAGCACTAACTGCTACCGCTGAAGCAGCCACCTCGTCCCGCACGCCTACCCCCGGCACTCTGAAGTACTTATGCGCTCTACCCGGTCCATTACAAGACCTGATCCCAGAGGATGTCACCCCGGAGAAGCTAGAGGCGGCCAGGCAGGCAGCGCCGCCGCCGTTTATCAAGCTGGACCACTACAACGCTCTGATGGAACTGCTGGGAGGGCGGCGATTCGAGCAGTTTGAAGTGCAGGGCTCGGGGCGTGAAATCAAGGTGTATTCTAGGGTTACTAAAGCGTATCCATGTATTTTCCACCAATCTGGGGATAAGCTGAAGAGGGGGGTGGTGAATGAGATAGTGGAAAATGGGACTTTGGATGCCATTGCGTTTGAAGGGATGGAATAGCAACTGTGTTTTGTAGCTTGTGATAATGCAGCAAATACTATCAGAATAGAGTGTTTTATGCCGGCTATAGGACCTGCTGCACCATCTGTAGAAGTGGACCTAGAGAGGAGGATGGCAAAGTGCAGGGTGGTTCAGATGACATTTAGATGGTGCAGAGCGGTTCATTTGGCATCCATGCTGACGAATGAAGCGCCTCTAGAGATAGGCCAGTGCACAAGGTCGGCTCTCCTGATTTATGCCCCACAGGTAGCTTCTCCGCCCCACAGGTAGCTTCTCCGCCCTAAAGGTAGGTAGGTTCCTTAATTGCCCGAAGATTTCCACAAGTAGATGGGGTCTGGAGGGCCGTGCTTGGAACCTTCCAGGAAGCTTGTCACAAAGTGGATGACGCCGCCTTACAGCTGGCGGTTGAGACGTCTCAAAAGCCGAGGGAGACGGCGAACTAGAGGAGCGGAGAGAAGGGGCGCCAACATGCCATGATTGGATGGGAGGGACCGAATTGGGATGGGAGGGATGGCGAGGGAAGACCTCAAAATGACATTCCGTACCTGTGAGGGATGGGGTGCGTGGGTTGGGGTGGGTTTGGGACGGTTTGGATGGGTTTGGATGGGTCATATGACATCGCCTTATAGCTGGCCGAGGGAGATGGCCTTACAGTAGGAGAGGGAAGAAGGGCGCTCGTGATGCCATGGCATACCTGTGAGGGTTTTTGTGGGGTGTGGGGGATTGGCGTTGGAGGGGTATGAGAAGGGTGGGAGCACGATGAGAAGCAGATGACGTCACAATGTCGCTGAGACGGGAAGCGGCTTGTGGTGCAGTGAGGGAGGGCGGTGGATGATGTGTGGATGTAGCTGGGCTAGGAAGGGAGACCGTAGAGTGAAGGATGGAGGAGGAAGGTTTGAGAAGGCCAAATGTGCAGGAGGGAAGGGAGGATGAAGGAAGGAGGGCAGGGAGGAGGGAAGGGAGGAGGGATGGGAGGAGGGAAGGAAAAAGGGAAGGGAGGAGAGAAGGGAGGAGGGAAGGGAAGCGGAAGGGGAGGAGGGATGGGGAAAGGGAGGGAGGAAGGGAAGGGGGAAGGGAGGGGGGAAGGGAGGGGGAAGGGAGGGGGGAAGGGAAGAGGGAAAGGAGGAGGGCGGGGAGGGGGGAAGGGAGTGGGGAAGGGAGGGGGGAAGGGAGTGGGAAAGGGAAAGGGAGGGGGAATGGAGGAGGGACGGGAAGAAGGAAGGGCGAACGAGGAAAGGGGAAAGGGGAGGGGGAAGGGGGAGGTCAAGGGGAGGGGGAAATGGGGAGGGGGGGAAAGCAAGGAAGTTGACGAGTCTTTGAACGTCTTACAGGCTAGGGCATACAGGCTAGGGCATACGGGAGAGGGCATACAGGATAGGGCATACAGGATAAGGCATACATGATAGGGCATACAGGCTAGGGCATACAGGATAAGGCATACATGCTAGGGCATACAGGCTAGGGCATACAGGCTAGGGCATACAGGCTAGGCCATACAGGCTAGGGCATACAGGCTAGAGCATACGGGATAAGGCATACAGGATAAGGCATGAATGATAAGGCATACATGATAAGGCATACAGGATAAGGCATACAGGACAAGGCATACAGGACAAGGCATACAGGACAAGGCATACAGGACAAGGCATACAGGACAAGGCATACAGGACAAGGCTCACAGATTCAGGGTCACTCACGGGATGTAGATGCAGGAGTGCCGTTGGAGAGCACACGGGCATTGAGAGTGGCACAGCGTGAATCGGCCCCTGCTGTACTCCTTCCCTGCGAGGGGGAGAAACAAGCGGAGCAAGCGGGGTAAGCGGGGCAGGAAAGACAGGGTATCGCGGGTGACTCAGCCTCGCTGTACTCCTTCCCTATAAGGGGTGGTGCGGGAGTGTTAAAGGTAAGAGGTGACAGAAGGAAGAGAAAGGGGAAATCAAGCTGGTAAGAAGAGGCAACAAGGGAGCACACAGGCATTGAGAGTGGCACAAAGTGAGTCGGCCTTGCTGCTCTGCTTCCATGCAAGGGGGGGGGGGGGGGGGGCGAGAGCAGGTGCCAGGTGATAGGTGACAGGAGAGAAAGGGGCAGGCTATGAGGCTCCAAGAGACAGGTTAGCGGCAGGCGGACTCGAGTGGTGCATAGCAGTTGGCAGAGCGAGAGTCGGCCTTGCTTCTCTGCTTCCATGTGAGGGGTGATGCAAAGGGAGAGATGAAACGGAAAGGTGAGGCCAAGGAGAGAGCACTGCACACGGTAAGAATCAGTTTTGCTGTGCTCCTTCCTGTAAG